GGTTACATTTATTATGTGAGTATTGATTTTGGGTTTTGATAGCTTACAGGTTGATTGTGTATCAAGGTGAAAATTTGTTGGGTTTTCATAACCAATAAATCTTTGGCGATGATGTAAAACGTTTGAATATATTTTCACAGGTCTTGGACAATGATGAATTGATTACCAACAACCAAGTCTAAAGGCTCAACACGAAAACAACGTGGACTGTTGAAAGTAGCTTAAGAAATTAATGCTATTCACGGCCCATATATTTATCTATTGGATGGCTTTTAAATCTTAGTCAATTTAACCCCTTTCTTGGTCAGACTAAAACCTAACCTATATCTATATATATGGTGTATTGAGCTAGGCATTTTTTAGTGTGTGGTTTGTGTGTAAAGAGAGAACATGGCTGCCTACTATTGGAGAAAAATGTGTGCAATTGAGAGTGAAAGCTGGTGACTTCCTCCTTCGTTTTGGTCTCTTCTTTGTGCCTCATTCATTATTTTTCTTGTTTCATTGTAACTTACAAATCAACACCGTTATCTTGTCATCTATGGGTAAGATTGAGAAGCAATTAAGGAAAATAGATTGCTTGTGAGTCAGAGATGTTTAGATTGGTTGTTTGGTAGAAAAAGTTAATGTGAAACTGAGCTAGAAAATCACCGTTTGAACATCTTGAAGCGAGCTTCCACAACAAACAATAATTATACAATATGTTCTATCTGTAAGATTATTTCAAACAAAATTTGTCACTTTATTCATTTCCATTGCAAAACATAATTTTTTTTTTCATTATTATTAATTTTTTGGACAAATTCAACACCAATAAGCATTCAAAAGTTGAAACATGAGGGGGTATAGTAGGGTTCTCTGATTTCCAATAATTGATAATGAGGCACATGATTATAGCATATGGGATGCACAGCCGCCTGATTCTTGTCCTCGGCAGTTTTGACAGTCTCTGTAGGGCCAACACTCACGATCTTCGCGAAGCACACATTCTTCCTAAGCAATTTGACAAGAGTCACCGTGTCGATATCTTCGCCAATCACTGTTAGCTTGTTCCTTTCCTCCCCCTCCATTGCTGCAGACTCTACCCCTATAGAATAACGTAAATAACACCATCTAAATTGAAGTCTTCTTATTGCATGTCTGATAAAGTTGACTAGACAATATTGGGGGAAAAAAAAAAAGGAACCTTGTTTGATGTCCTAGATATAATTATGTAAGTCTCAAGTACCAAACAAGCTATTTTTGCCGGTCTTTGAGCTCATTTTCACCAAATAAATAAATAAATAAATAAAAATGCTCAAACACAGGCTTTGTTACTCATAAAAAAGATTTAACTTACTTGGGATGCATACTGCAATCTTCATGGCCCTCGTTCTAATCTTCGTAGCTTCGTTCGACTCTTGATTTACGCAGCACATCAACATCTCAATGATGCCTTGAGAGATATGGCCATTTAACGAGACCTCAATGACCACCTTTTGCTGATGATGAAAAACATTGAAAGAGTAAATATACATATAAGAAGATTCAAGGGTTTCTCTTTCCATTTCTTGCATTTCAACTGTGTGTGTGCATACCTTCATCCTTCCGTGGAATAAAGAGACAATGAATGCAGGGGACAACTAGCTTTGAGAAATTTATGGAATATCAGATGAGTCACTTGTGACCTGTATATATAGTTGTCAAAATCTGCAAAAATTTCACCGTTGGTCCCCAACCTATTGCCTCATTTTTCAAGTTGGTCCGTAACTTTTCGTTAGTGTTGCACTATTAATTGTTATCGTCCAAGGAAAGTTAGGAAAAAGAAGTGGGACCAACTTGTTGGGATCCCTTGTCGAAGTTTCAATTTTTTTACAGTTAGGATGAGGCTTGCACCAGTTTGTTTACATCTCAATCTTCATTATACGTGCTTATCGGGTGCGGATCTAGACAGTTCAAACTGTGGAGTTAAAAATGAAATTTATTTAGAACAACGTATCATGAACAAAAAGAAGAAATCGGTGAATTATATGATATATCTATGGACAAACTAATGGATATGGACAATGTGATATGGATATAGATTTAGGATTTGGGCTTTTTGAGTATTGGGCTAGGAAAATTAATTGGGTTGGCTCACCAACTTGGCATGAAATTACGTTTTCAGCAGGGAAAAAAAATAAAATAAAATTGTGAGGTCATTTGATCTCACATGACACCATGTGGGTCCGCCTCTGGTTCTTATAAAACATGCATTTACAATATATGAGTTTGCAAAATGGGTTCTTCATTTTACTTGACCAAATTCTTCACAATTTTCGGATTAATTTTTTTATTAAAGATCTTATACATATACAAATTTTAAAAGTAACAATGAGGCTTTATTTGATGACATTTTGTCTAATTTTTCGACACTATATATTAAAATTTAATTTAAATTCTTAAATTATTAGATATATAGAGGATGGATTTAATTATTTGAAATTTTCCCTTTTAACAACCAAGATTTGACTTAAATTTATCTTTCCTCTAAATTCTTATAAAATGTTAAGATTTCGTTCAACATTTGACATTCAACCTTGAATGTTAATTATTAGATATGTATTTTTTATTATATTTGACTTCCACAGTTCCACGTTTGTTTGTTATTAAAGAAATGAACGTATTTGGTAACTGGCCCGTTTAAATCTTAAAATGTTAAAATTGGAGAGGAATTTTTTAGAGATTTCTAAATTGGTCCCCAAAGTTATTTACTTCTAATTTTTTATTAAATAATTCTAGATTAAAATTAACTACTATTTTTCTTGAAAGGAACCAAAAACTAACGATTTACTTTGTGAAAAATATTTTGTACAAGTTTCATAATATTACTGCTACGGAAAGAAAAATAATGGATTATGCCGGAACAATAATATTTATTTATTGCACACCAATCCTTCTATTGTTTGATAATTTTCAATTTTATGAATTTTTCAATTTCAGATACAAAGGTGGTGAGAAAATTAATCAAATATTCTTAGACAAAATAGTGTTGCAAGAAAATTTTACTATATATGAAAATAAGGCGAGAATCACAAAGTTAAGATCTCTCACACAATAAAATTCCCGAACCTTGACATATTATTTATTAGACATCTCTCCGTTATATTTAAAATGAAAATAATTCCCTAGTCGTGGAGAATTTTTTGAGAATATGATCCTGAAGAGTCAAATTCTCCTTTCACAAGTAATTTAATTGCAATTAAGCCGTTCAACATTTGGTAAGACTTCTATAAAAAAATATTTTAGCTTTTAGACTTCCCGTAATGTTCACATTTAACCACTGATCACCCTAACAACTCTAATTGTCATTTTGTATATATCAATTGTCAATTATCTTTCCTATGTCCCACAAATGTCATAGAATATTTAGTTTGGAAAAGTACTAAAACTGGTCATAGAAGGATCTATCAAGAAACACAAAACATTATTATAAGTGGTCAAAAATTATATAATAATACTCTGTTTTAGAGTAACGTCGGGTTAATTATCGAAATGGTCACTAAACTTTCCCACCTGTTACTATTTGGTCAATAAATTTCAAATGTGTTAAATAAGCCACTGTTGCTTTTTATATCCCAGCCATTCCATCTACTAAGATTTAATGAAAAATCAACATCTTTGTTGTTGTGTCAAATTGGAGAATGATGTTGCATCTAATCTTTTTAGGGTCCATTAAGTACAACTATTGTGTGTAGAACTTTATCAATAGAGTTTTTACTAGTAGAGCCTTTTCAAGAAAAGCTTTTAATAAAAAGTTGTTCGTTTGATAGTCAATCTGAAAAATGTTGTGAGTACTAAATAGATTGTTTGGTAGTGTAACTAAAAAGTGCTTACCACATACTTATGTGGCTAAATTTTAATAATTTATTTGTATATAATATTTATTTCCATTCATTGAAACTATTAAAATTTATTTTAACTAAAATAACGAAGTATTATTATTTAAATGAATATCAAGTTATTTATTTGTGTAGATCACATTATTTATTTTATTATATATTTTAACTAATTGAAATGGGGATTGTATGTGACATTTCATAGTTAAAATGATAAATAATACTAAAAATAAGATAGAAACATATTTGTTAACCTTTCAAAATGAAACTTTAAATTATAAAATTTATTATATTAGTCCATTGTTTTTTTTTTTTTCCTTTTTTTTTTTTTTTTTTTTATACCCAGGTGTCCCAGCTTCGCCAGACTAAATCCTGAACCCCTAGCCATCGGCCCCTCAGTGACTAGCGGAGGTAAACCGCAGGATGTGCCCTTGTTGGATCACAGGTTCCCACCCGATTTTTACTCTTGGCCTCAAGAGAGCTTTCCTCCATAGTGATTGATCCACCAACAAAGTTGCCCATTTGTTGGATTACAGGTTCCCACCAGGAATCGAACTCTCCACGCTGAAGTTGCGAGCCCGCCAAAGTTATTGATCCACCAACTCGGATGTGCCCTGGGGGGCTATATTAGTCCATTGTTATTTCGATGTTAAGATAGTTTGAAGGATAATTTTGTTTATTGAAAAGTTTTATTAAATACATATTTCAATTTTCTTGGATACAAAGCTTTTTGAAAAATTTGAGCTTCTTTAAAATAACTTAAAAAGAAATTTTATTGATCAACAAGAACTTTTAAACTTTAAACAAAAATCCATTGTTTTAATAAAAACAGCTATTACTAGGGCCAGATAGCAAAATCGTCAAACTATGAAATCGAACTAAAATTAGTTTTTGAAATCATTGATTTGGGTTCACATAGATCCCTCAATGTTTTTATTTTGAATCGAACCAAATCGTTTCAAATTAGATTTGTTTAGATTTCAATTTTTGCAAACCATTTCAAATTATCAAATTATTACAAAAAATAAAAATAATTGAAAAATAAGTTACTTTAAATTTTATTCAACCCAACTAAAACGTAAAGCATCCAAATTCAAAATATACATTCATATTATATCCAACCCAGTTAAATTCAACACACAATTAGACAACTATCCATTCCAATTAATTAAATAATAAATAACCATAAGTCATCAAAATTGTGAAAGAAAAATTCTCAAATTGGCTGAAGTATTGAACTTTTTTGAAACCATAATCATCGAATGTCCATCACATTGAGTAGACAATTAAATTTTAATAAACTCACACCATTTCCTTTCCTTCTACTAATATTTTTCTCGAATTTTGCCGAAATTTCCATGTAAGTTTATCCAAAATTTCTTATTTTTTGTAATTGTTTATTATATTTTATTGATAATTTTTTTGTTTTGTTGTGATTTTTCGAAGCCCTTAATTTTTTTAGACGATACTATTTGTTTATTTACTTCTCAATTTTCTGGTTAGATCATACGATTTATTATTTATATTTAAACTTAGTTGTTAAATTTTACTATTTAATCGATAGAATAATTTGATAGATTTCTTAAATGGTTATGTCAAGATTTGACTAATGAGCCTTTCAACCTATTACTTTGGTGGAAATTGAATGCAAATAAGTATGAGATTACCTTCGAAAATTGTCAAATATGTGTTAGCTATTCAAATATTCAAAATTACTGAATTTATAATCCCTATTAGTTGTTGAATTTTTTTATTCTTTTAGGCGTTGGTTGATCTTAAAGATGTTGAGGCGATGATTTGTCCTAAAATGTTGTATTAAGGAACCTATAATAATTCGTCAATATTTGAATAATGTAGAAGTATTGGATGATTCACAGAAAGCTGTAGAATATATTATCGTATTTGATCTTCTTATTCGTTTTTTATTAATTGCTTTATATTGTGATTGTAATTAATGAATAAATTGGCTATATTCTTATCTTTATATAAAGAATCAATAACGTGTTACAGCTGCAAATGTGGCTCAAATTAGCATCGACTAATAGGTTAGCACTAAAATATTTGTATCATATTATTGCATGTAATAATTATAAGTAAACTTTGATTTGTAATATTTGTAATGTCACTATTTAGTTTTAACATGAAATTCTAGACTAATATTTATGACTTAATGTGTTCAATATATGTCTTTTCAAACCAAAATAAGGTTGTTTTCAAAGAAATGAGTGAGAATAAATCTACGATATCAATTCTAGAAACACAACCCCGGTGACAAACAACCTACAGTTTAGGAATACTAAAACAACATGATAAAAGTAGAAGGGATGATCATTCATGTGATCCTATAGATGAAGAAATTGTTGAAACTGAGGATGTAATGGATTCGACTTAATGGTGATGCTATTTTTGATGAAAACCAAACTACAGTTTTAGGAATATTAAGACATCATGACCAGAGTAGGAGCTATGATCTTTCATATGATCCTATAGATGAAAAAATTGTCAAAAGTAATGGAGTCAACTTGATGGTGATACTAGCTTTGATGAAAACATTGTGATTCCTTAATAACGCCACGATCTAGGAGCTACAACCACTTAGATAAGGTTATAAGGTCATCATGAGATTTTTCACATACTTGTTGGTTGGACAGTCCAAACAGATGATGTCCACAATACAAGTAGATAATAAGACTTCATATGAGGAGGCTATAGATTATGTCAACGCAGATTTACGGCAACAAGATATAAATGCTATAATTGTATCCATGCATTTTCT